CCTGGTAGTTGTCTCCCGTCGAGTCCTCGTAAGAGCTGTCATTGATGATTCCTCCGTCGATGATTCCTCCGTCGATTATTCCTCCATCAATGATTCCTCCATCGATGATTCCTCCGTTGATGAATCCTCCATCGACGAATCCCCCGGAGAACGAACTACTGAAACTCTCCTGCTGGCTGCTGCTTTGTTGACTGCTGCTCTTCTTGCTGCTGAAGCTCTTCTTGTTGAAGCTCTGCTGACGGGCGAATCCGGGGGTCTGGACTGCGAAGCCAGGAATCTGTGGCGCGAAGCCTGGGCCTGCGAAGCGAAGCCGGAAGCCTGAGAAGCAAAGCCGGGAGTTTGAGAGGCGTAGGTTGGCTGGGGACTGACGGCCGGCTGGCGGGTGGCAGTCGGCTGACGAGCGGCTGTCGGCTGACGAGCGGCTGTTGGTCGGCGAGTGGCTGTTGGCTGGCTACTGGCAGCTGGTCGCCGACCGGCCGCTGACTGAGTAGCAACCACTGGTTGACTGTTGTAAGACGCCGGTGCGGCGGCTGGGGGCTGGGAGGTGAAGGCTGCCTGGGCGTTCGCTGAGCGGGCGGGTGTTGACTGCCACTTGGGCGTTAACCGATGGCTGTGAGTTGAACGAAGACTGGGCGTTCACTGAAGGCTGGGCGCCGAACGTTGCCTGACTGCTAACAGCAGGCTGGCTGTTGAAGGCTACCTGAGTACTGACTGAGGGCTGGTTGTTAAAGGCCGCTTGTGCGTTGACCAAGAGGGCTGGTTGTTATATGCCGCTTGTGCGTTGACGCGAGGGTTGGCTGCCGAAGATGCCTGGGGTTGACCGAGGGTTGGCTGCCGAAAGCTGCCTGGGCGTTGAAGGAGGGCTGGCTGCCGAAGGATGACTGAGCAGTCGCCAAAGGTTGCTGGCTGCCGAAGAGATGCTGAGCAGTCGCCAAAGGTTGCTGCTGCCGAAAGGATGACTGAGCAGTCGCCAAAGGTTGCTGGCTGCCGAAGGATGACTGAGCAGTCGCCAAAGGTTGCTGGTTAAAGGAGAGCTGAGCATTGACTGCAGGCTGGCGATTGAAGGCAGACTGGGCGCTGACTGCTGCCTGAAGCGCTGTTGATTGGTTGCGCACACTATAGGCCGGCTGAGCGCTGACAGCCGGCCTGCCGGGCAACAGCGGGCTGGCCGGTTGAGGCTCGGGCGCGGCGCCTTGATGACGTTGACGGCGGCGATGCTGCCCTGGGAGCCGTCGAAGCTCTTGCCGAAGCTGAGGGCGCCAGAGGAGGCGAGGCCCGCCGAGCTGTCGCCGCTGAGGGAGTTCCTGTAGTAGTTCTCAACGACCGGGCCCTCTCCTCGCTCACTAGACGGCCTGGAAGCCGGAGTCGCCGTCGACGTAGTAGCGAAACGATCCTGCGGCAGAGAAAGGACACACAAAACCAGTCAAGTAACCAAGTCAATAACGAAAACAGAGAGAAGAAAACGAGAACATTAAAACGGCAGGAAAACAGAACAGCACCGATATAGCAAGCAATGCGACCACGCCATTTCAAAAGGACGTCGGGCGAGGCTACCTGAAGAGGCCATTGGGCTGCAGCCAGCGGTACTCTCCCTCGGTTCTTCCTTCCGGTGAAGTGGTCTCCTTGTGCTCTTTGATGTCGTCGGTTTCGGGCACGTTGACTCCGTACGAAAACTGATACGGCATTGGCTGAGAAAGTAAAAAGGAATAAAGTAAAAGGAATGATTAGAATCAAAGCATCGATCCTTAGTCACACAGGTTGCAAGACTTCAG